AGAAAGACCCATAAAAACAACTCTTTCGTGGCATGCTGTTCACGTGAAGTCAACGTAAAAACATGGACCCCATTGACCGTCAACATAAAAATTAGGAAAGTGACTATATAATTAAGAAAATGGGGAATATATATATGTATGTATATTTAATACTCAGTCTCTGATTCCGACAGTTGCCGTCATATGTTTGATTGAAGCTGTTGTTCGATCATAAGTATTTTACTACCTTATTCCCTGCCCAATTTCCAGGGAATATTATTTTTTCCACTTATTTAGAGCCATATACATATAAATATTTATTAAATTTAAACAAAAAAAAAATTAAACTTAATTTCCAAGAAATCATTTTAAATCAGAAATTGTTGTATTCATGTGGTTAGATTAAGTTTGTACACCCACTAACAAATATTGTGATCTAGTAGTGGCGCAACGCGTTGTAGATAACGCGCACTGACATTAATAACAAAATATGATGATAATAATAATAACAATAATAATGATTTAATTAATCCTATGTAATAGATGTTACTCCCTCCGTCCCAATTTAAATGACGTTTTGGGTTGTTGCACACATATTAAGAAAATCAATAAATGTGTATAGATTATAGTGAAAAGCATAGGAAAATACTAGTATATCCTTGACATTAATTATTTTACAACTAACTAATTAGAAGTGATAAATGGTAAAATTAAAAATAACGCAATTAATGATGCATTGAAAATCTAAAATGACAAATAATTTAGGACAAAAAAGACATATAATATGAGACAGAGGGAGTACCTTCTAACATATTTTAATGTACTCCAGAAATTACTAGAAATATAGACATGTCCAAAGTTGGAATAGCAATTAATTAGTAGAAGTGTGCGTCATGCTGTACGTCACACTCCATGGATCTCGGGACCTATTATTAATCCATTAAAAAATCAATAATCCACTTGTAATTAAAGTCATAACTATATACACACTCATTTGCTAGCTAGTGGGACTCACAATAATGTTAGGTTTATATGCTATAATTCTAGATTAATTATGCTATCCTTAATAGTTAATAATGCTGCCGTATGCTAATTAATTATTTGCCCAATCACCTTTAACTAAACGGAAGTGGCGCTAAATTAAAACACTCTTTGCCACCTTAATTAATTGGATAAATGCCTTATTAATTTGCTTTCGTGTTAATTAAGGGATAAACAAAACTAACTACTCCATACAATAAATAATTAATTGATAGTGGACCAAAACTTCAAATTTAAAACAGCATGTGGGCAGTCAAATACTACTATATCATAAATAGTCGCCCCACTAAACATTGACTCGGACAGAATATTTTATTTTTCAATTTTTTTCGTTGACTACATCCATTTTCTTGAGGTTTATCATCTAATTTAGATATACTACCTATTTACACTTTTTGGAAAAAAAAGAAAAAAAAGAGAGGAAAAAGATGATAACCGGAGCCTCCACTAATTGAAAAAGGGTTAATTAATTAAGGAAGGTCAACCATAATGCATGTCCTAATGGCACTAATTTAGGTCTAATTAATGACTAGTTTTATTTGTATTTGATGGTGGAGAGAACATTGATTTGATTATTGTGTAATCTGGAGAATTAATTAATTTGGGTTTATATATATAGTCGGAAAAATAATTATTTTATAGTGGCGGTCGGTCGGTCGAAGTAGGCATAACATATAGTAATAGTGGTGGATATATGGCCACAACCACAATACATAATTAAGTGATGATTAAGGACTTGTTACTTATATTAATTAAATATTAAATTAAGATTAGACCACCACATTCTCTTCAATGAACAACTATGCTTACATTAAACCGATTCCACTCTTTTTTTTTCTTTTGAATAAACTAGTATTTTTTTCAAAAGTGAAAAAAATAATCAATTTAATACATAATAAGAAAATATAGTATACTAATATAGTAAAATTTAATAATGTAGTATTATTCTTATTTTATATAACATTAATTTTTTTTTAAATCTGACATATTAAGATTTATAATCCAAATATATAGATTAAGATTTAACGAATCGAATTTCTATTTTTATCACTCATGATTTGAGATATATTGATGAAAAATAGGAGATTGATATATAATTGTTGAAAATTATAGTGAAATAATTAGTAAATAAAAAATATTAAAAATAAATAGTTACAAAAATACCATTAAATAGGATTCTTCAGGATTTAGTTTCAATTTTGATGATTGTTAAAAAAATATAGTTAGAAATTAGTAGAGAAAAAAATATTAAAAATATTTAATTACAGAAATATCATTAGTATTTTTTAGGGTTTTCAGCGTTTCTTTCTTTTTATATATAAAATTAACTGGTCTATACTTCCTATTCTATTTAATAATATTTATAAAAACACTCAATAGAACATATAGTAACATTTACTATCATGGAATGAAATTTTAAACTTGTTTTTAATTTCAGAGTCTAGATTTTTTTTTATTTTTTTTTATACATATATATATATATATATATATATATATATATATATATATATATGAAGTTAGTTTTGGATCCAATTAAATTAAAATTATTGTTAAGAGGAAGCCAAATGGTGCCCATAATATTAAGTAGCTGGAGAAATCGTCATTCGTCACCCTAACCCTAACCACCACCTTGTCTTCTGCCCAATAGCTAGAATTAATTAATTAATTATTAATTTATTAAAATTCATATTATAATAATTAATTGCCCACAGAAATTAAAATCCCCCTACCACCTCGGCAACCTACGATCTTGTTTAGTACACGTAAACAAAGAAGAGGGCACGTGTCACCATTAACTGGCGCCGCGTGCCTGAGTACTAGTGAAACTGTCAAACAACCGAACAAGGTTTTTATTATTCCACATATTAAGGGAACTTTCCAGCTTCCACCTTTTTATATATATATATATATATATATATATATATATATATATATATATATATATATATATATATATATTTTTTTTTATTATAATATAATATTTAAAATTTTAAATTATTTTAGTATTTTAGCCCTTCGTATTTTCGGAGGTCAGTCTTAAAAACGGCCTTGATTGTAGGTAAGATTAGGCTACGATTTTCGATCCTCTAATATTTTCAAGCTTCTCGGGACTCTAAGAAATTAAATACAAAATTTCATATCTAATAATCAAAATATTATATACACCTATGTCAATTTATAATTAAAATATACTATATAGTATGAGGTTAAATTTCTAGAATTTACTATGAATTTAATTAATAATACATTAAAAATCTAATTTTATTAAAATATAACAATAACAATTATAATAATAATATCCTCTGACGTTCTAAAATTATATATATATATATATATATATTATATATTCATTTTCTATTAATTTTGTTTATTGTTTAATTTTTCCTTTCTTCTGTATTCAGTCATGTACGTGAGTTTGGACCATATGCGTTGTATCCGGTTGGTAGTAATTATTATATTATATATACATACATGCATGCATGAATGAATTTCAATAAAATAAAATGTGAGAGATAAATAAAAGCGGACAAAATTTTCAATAGTCAATATGAAATCTAAAAAACGTCACCGTATTTTCTATCATGTGCATATATATTGACGATGAAATCTATTAAGTGATATGGTAGAATGAACCATGCTGTTTGTGTTGCTACTCTTAATGTTTGGATATAACAATATTAAAAAAGAAAATTATTTATTTATTTATTGTATCCGCTATATAATATTTAATGCTAATTATATTATACAAAATAGGGTAAATTACAAACACCCCTTTCAGGTATGGTCAAATTATCCAAACAAGAGGGGTGTTTTTGTAATTTGACCATAGCTCAGGGGGTGTTTGTAATTTACCCTACAAAATAATAATATTTTTTTTTACTAGTTAAAGAACTCCTAACTATTTAACTGCATATTAGGTATACCAACTCTTAAACAATTGTATTCTCGTATTTACAGTTTTAAGCAAGCATGACAATTTTTATTTTTTTCTGGTCTACTATCTCTATATATCCACATTGGAACCATGCAGAACAAAGGATATATATATACATTTTATTATATGTATATATCATGATAATTGATAATAAATCAGTTGAGTTTTTTTATGATTGATTATATAAATACGGACTTAGCTTGTAGTATAGGAAAAAAATGGAAATATAGGCGTGGTGGTGCACGCGTGAAGACAAGATTGAGCAGCTGAAATCCATGCGAGCGATATATAATATAGATTAATCACGTGATAGTTAAATTGTCGTAATTCGTGAGTTGTTCGCACGAGACAAAGACACAATTAGTTTAATTTGCTTCAGCTGATTTCATAACTCTAACCACTGTCGCTATCCCAGGAATCATATTTCGGAACTATTACTACAAGCTAGTTGATCGTTTATCATCATGATTTCAATTTTTTTTTTATACATAAAAGAAAGAAACGTTAGACAACCTTAAAAAAAACTCTAATGGTATTTCTGTAATTATTTATTTTTAATATTTTTTTCTCTACTTATAATTTCTAACTATAATTTTCAATAATTATCAAAATTATAACTAATTAAGCTGTGAAGAATTCTACCCTAATAATACTTTTGTAATTATTTATTTCTAATATTTTTTCTCTACTAATTTTCTAATCATAATTTTCAACAATTATCAATCACTTATTTTTCATCAATAAAGATAGAAATTGAATTTGGATTATAAATCTTAATATGTAAGATTAAAAAAAAAATCTAATGTCATATAAAATATAAAAAATACTACATTATCAAATTTACTATGTTAGTGTACTATATTTTCTTATTATGTATTAAATTGATTATTTTTTTATTTTTAAAATTATAACGGGAAAAAAATACTAGTTATTAAATAATTTAAACTACATGATGGGAGTCGGCACGTAGTCAACATCGGACCAACAATAAAAACCTGATATGCCGAGAGGGATGACATAAATGATTTAACATATATATAAACGAAAAAGGTAAAAATAAAAATAAATTAACAAATAAAAGCCCATTTAAGATTTGGGCTTTAAAGCCCTAACATTTCCAATCCATCTATTCCAAACATTTCCCATACATTTCAATCACTAAACCAATTGGACCCAGTTACACAGTTAAAATACCATATAACAGTACTGAAAAGACAATTACATAAAATCCAACTCCAACAAACCAAGATAAAAAATTCTTACAAAATCTTTACTATTTCAACCAACTCATATTTCAAAACTTTAAACTCACTTGCAAATCTGCTCAACTGCAGCAACAATCTGCGCAGGCTGAACAACCGTCCACTCCTCGAGCGTCCCGGCATATGGTGTGGGCACATCCTGCGAAGACAAGCACACAATCGGAGCATCCAAATAATCATGAAAATTCTCGTTTATCGAAGCAGTCAAACTAGCCCCAATCCCACCGGTCCTCATGCACTCCTCCACAATCACCACCCTATGAGTCTTCTTCACCGAATTCCCAATCGTATAAAGATCGAACGGCTTCAAAGACCTAATATCAATCACCTCCGGATCGTACCCCTTGTTGACCAGAGTCTTTGCCGCCTGCATCACATGGTACCTCATCCTCGAGTACGTCAGAATCGTCACATGCTCACCCGGCCGCACCATCTCGGCCTCCTCCAGGCTGCAAACGTACTCCTCGTCCGGAATATTTCCCTTCAGATTGTAGAGCAAGACATGCTCGAACAGAATCACCGGATTGTCACTTCTTATGGCGGCCTTCATCAACCCCTTTGCGTTGTAAGGGGTGGAGCAAGCCACCATTTGAATACCCGGGATTGACTGGAAGTAGGACTCGAGGCGCTGGGAGTGCTCAGCCCCGAGCTGGCGGCCGACGCCGCCAGGGCCGCGGATGACCACCGGAATCTTGAACTGGCCGCCGGAGGTGTAGTGGAGCATGCCGCAGTTGTTGGAGATTTGGTTGAATGCGAGGAGGAGGAAGCCCATGTTCATGCCCTCAATTATGGGGCGAAGGCCCGTCATAGCGGCTCCAATTGCCATTCCGGTGAAGGAGTTCTCGGCAATGGGGGTGTCGAGAACTCTGAGGTCACCGTACTTTGGTGCCAAGCCCTTGGTTACTTTGTATGAGCCTCCGTAGTGGCCCACGTCTTCGCCCATTACGCAGACATGTGGGTCCCTGTCCATCTCTTCCTCCAAGCCCTCACGGAGGGCTTCAAAAAGCAAAAGTTCATGCCTACAGGTGAAGATTGGGTTTAAGGACAATTATCTCAAAATCTAGTTCAAGAAAGAGCTATAACTTTATTACAACAGGCAGGAATCCTAGTAAAGTTGCAAGATTTGTAGATGCAACTATAGACTTGAGTTCAAGATTTTCCATACCAGAGTCCAGTAAGTCTCATTAGACTAAGTAATTAATAATTTCCATACCGGAGATTGGCCATTTGGTAATGAAACTGTACAAAACCTTATGTTTCTTATAATGGCAATGCACATATGAAAAAACTCATGATAGATGAGGAGATTTGGATCAGTCTTTTTGCTATTAAGGTCAGAGATAGTGATGAAAAGAAATGCATTGCACTTTACACATTGGAGTACATTGCCTGAGTACACATAGCTATTATATTTATAGGGTCGAATTCAGATTTGTAATGAATGGCTCTCGACTAATTGGTTCAATCTTTACTTTGCAGGCATAAAATATTTGCTGATAACCATTTCTCCAGTCTTGGAACAGAAAATTATCAAAAATCTCATATGATGTTTCCGACAAGGTTTTTGTGGAAAAACATTAATATCACTGAAATTGTCACACTTGACAATGGCTTATTTAATTTCTCCGCTTGCAGGACACTAGTTGAAGTTACAGCATTGAGAAGAAAAGGGACTCTTTATAACGGCATTCAAACTTTAAAGTGACAATAGTAAGCATGCAATAGAGTAGACAGTGAGAAATACCCGGGCTTGGATGCCGTAGAAGCTGTCACATTATCTTGCTTCGACTACATAAAAGTACAAGAATAGCACAAGTTAAATAAATAAAAACTAGAAACAGCAATTTAATAAGTGAATCGTATATCGGGATGAGAACACAAACTAAACTTACGAAGGCAGGGTAAAACTTACTGCAACTGCGTTAGTGGACAACCCTGCACTCCGGTTGTTCTGATTGTTCATGCCAAAGGTCAAACTTCCATCACAGTGAATGGAAAGGCAGCTCCGTTTCCTCTCTGAAATCAATTTGACAAAATTGAGTAAAATAACACGCTTCATATAACGACTACATAAAATGTTAGCACAATTAATCGAAATGCATCTCCAAATTTCATCCACAAAAACATCGATTCACATAAATCTTAATCTGTAATCAATTGATGCAACATAAATCAAAATTAGCCTACTCAGAATCAGACAGAATAATAATAATACTGTTTATTTTCAGATAAATGAATTGAACCATCTCAATTTCACGAAAGAGGACCGACTACTCAGATTTAAAATAAAAAAATAAAAAAATTGAATTAAGATCTGCAAAACCTGGGAAAGATCTGCGAGAAGCGTAGCCGGAATTCTTGTAATTGACCGACGAAATAGCCGTTGTAGCCCCAACACTTTGCATAATCGCAGCCGCCATTCAGAACCGTTCTCAAAATTCCAATAAAGTAGAAAAAGGATTCAAATCCCCTCGCTGCTTATACTACCAAAATACAATGCACTGTCAATTTTATCAAATAGAGATTTTAAATACACCTTAGAAAAGTAACGAAGACGACGGCGGTGGCTGGTGAGAGAAAGGGGAGGAGACGGCGGCGATGGTGATTGGCGATTTGCAGGTAAGAATAGTGTGAGAGCTGAACCACATGTTTCAGTGTTTTTACGTCGTTTTGCGCTTCGATCATACCGCCCGATCACCTACTTCCGGTCTATTGCACCTATACTTCTCGATACATCCAACGGTCATAAAGTAATTAGATCCGTAAATTTCAATTTATATTTAAAAATTAAAATAAAAAATTTCAAAATGTGTTAATTACGATTCGGCCCCATACTATTTTTTGACCACCGACTAAGCCCCATTTATCAATTGTGTAACCGGCCCAAGTAGAACTTTCGGCCCAATTAGAACGTATTATTAACTTAAAAAACAAAAATGTTATGGCTAATTGGCACTTTGCACCCTTCAGTTACATGTCATTGGCACTTTACACCCTTAAATTGAAAAAATAACAGAATGCACCATTCAATTATATTTTGTTTGGCACTTTGCACCCTAATTCATTTTGGGCTAGATAAGTGACCTGCTACTTGTTGAAAGGGAATGGATTTGTCTTTCTTTATTTCTCACAAACTTAAATATATTTTATCTTCTTTATTTCACATATCCAAACCTGCCGACCAAGAACAACTATAATGTTCATTGTTCTCTATCAAGAGTCTGATGATACTTTATTCCAATTTTGAATAAATTTATATTTTATTTATTTTAAAATAAATACGAATTTAATTAAAGCAAGCATTCAAAATTAATGTTTGTTAAAATGGTATATGCAAATAAAAGTCATGCAATCTGCAATTCCATACATTTTCACCACTAATATAGTATTTTAAACGGATAATTAAACTTCATTTTTCTTGTTCATATGCACTTAAAAGGAGAATTATGTTATTTGTGTAAAAAAAAGGGGTTTACTTTTATTATTTTCGTCACATCAATTGGTTAAAACATCAAATGCCTAAAAAAAATCAATTTTTATATTTAAGATTATGGAGTAGATATTTAACTAAAAAAATAAGAGAAAATCTACAAATGAATATTCTAATGTTTAGTTTATCTCCTTGGCACAAAGAGATGGTTGAATTAGTTGTTGGAATGATGTAATTGACACTAATCTCGTACTTATCTAAGAAATCATAAAAGAAATGGAAGTTTGTGAATAATAAAAGAAAATATATATATATATATATATATATATATATATATATATATATATATATATATATATATATATATATATATATATATATGCTGCCCCTATTCAAATCTCACATAACAGGTAGCATGTCGCTTTTCTAACCAAAAAATGAATTATTGTGCAAAGTGCCAAGCAAAATGTAATTGGAGGGTACATTCTGCAATGTTTCTAATTTTAGGGTGCAAAGTACCAATGGCATGTAATTTAAGGGTGCAAAATGCCGAATACCCAAAATATTATAATAATAATTCCTACAGAAAATATATATATAAAAAAAAAAAAAAAAGAGTTGAAGTCAGAGCAACATGGAGCTGCTCTATCTTCTCTGCTCCATCATCTCAGCTACCAGTACCTCCATCATCCTATCTCTCCTCCTCCCCTTCCGCCACCTCCTCCGCCGCATCTCCACTTCATTCTCCTCCGTGGACATCGACAACTCTGCCGCACTCTACCAAGGCACAGTCTGGCACGAGCGTCGCCGCCCTGTGCACCACTCGTTCCGCTACTCCGTCCGCTACGCGCTCATTGATCTCCAAAATTCCCACGCGCCTCCCAACCACCTCTCCGCCGACGATGCCCGCTCTATTTCCAACACTAATGGACCCGTGTAAGTTTCCCCTCACCCGAATTTTAATTTCAAGTTATAATACCAATTTCCGTCGCTTTAAATTCTGCATCTGGTAGTGGAATCATCGCCTTTCAATTTGAATTTTATGTCTGCTTGTGGAATTTTTCAAATCTATTAGCTTGTTTGATTCATAAACTATGTGAATTGCAAGCAGAAGACTAATTACTGTACTAATGAACTACATTTCTTATAACTACGAATTTTTAGTTTGTACAATCAGTTCCAATTGCAGTAGATTGATAATATTTGTATTGAATAAATCAGATTTCTGCTGACAATACCTCCTAGCGTGGGATATGAACAAAATCCGTTGAGTTTGTACTATTGCTATGACGATGAAGGCTCGACCCGATCTTTGAAGAAATGCATTGCTGAGGTACATTTGAAAATTTCGACATATGTTTCTAATTTCCCACCGCTCGGATTTGAATCGGATAAAAAACCTCTTTATGTTTCGTGTTTCGTTGTTGCTTCAGGTTACAAACACACCATGGGGTGAAAGAGTGACATTTTTATTCGATCCAAACTCGGATTTAGTTGCAAAGCCTCTTCATGTCAGCCCTTTCATGGTTAGTTTCCTATCTCGTAAATAAACGCCTCATTGCATCTTCTTTCAAATTTTGAATTGTGTGTCGTTTCTAATACATGTTACTGATAAACAAACAACTACAGGATATGCGTGGAAACTGGAGAATGAAAGCAAACGAACCTGCTGAAAATCTACATGTGGTAATATCAGTACAACACCCCGAACTCGGTAACTATTTCACTGCCACATTGATTGCTAAACAAGTGACCTCTTTAACGCCAGTGGATCATTCACGATTCTTCTGGTTGATGCCTCATAAAGTTGCATTGTGGATTTATTGGCACGTGAGTACATTTTAATACATGTGTTTTCGTATCATTACTTGAGCTCGCTTTGTAAAACTATCGTTAACGATATATTTCACGATATGTTGCCTTAGGCTCTCAAACTCTGGTGGAAGAATGTTTCCTTTGTACAACATCCGAGATATCAGAATCCCAATTATAGAGAAGAAGCTTTACTGCGCGACGAAAAGATTCAAAATTGCCCATTATTTGGAAATAATGAAGCAGACGACTTTCAAATACAAGGAACACCGTCTGATCCAGCAGCCAAACTGCCAAGCAATCGCTGCTTTGATTGGAGAGACGCTGAATGGCCCTGGTGCTGAATTTCTACCTGTAAGTCAAATACCAAAGTTCCAAAAATTACGCGATTTCTCGTAATTGTGAATTCTGTATGATTGATTGTTTTTTTAATTGTTATTGTTCGCACATAGACATTTAAATCACATTTGTCACACTTGAATACTAGGGAAACAACCCTAAGGGATTTCAATGAGAATTAGATTGCTATTTTTACTATTTCCAAGAGCCAAATTAAAATGTTTCTACTCAAACACTATGCAAGATATGTTTTGCTGGTTTTCATCACACTAGTATTTGGAGCAGGTCACGACTCGGTTATTGTCTATCTCGAAAAATTGCAAAATGAAGAAGGGGTGGAGATTCTGAAAATCAAATAAACAGTTACTATGTATGTACTTCCGATTCTTTTGTTTGATTTGTACGGTTTATTTTACGGAATCAAGTTATGATTATTTCATAATGATATATGTTGGGTGATCAAAATCTTGAATGACACTTTTGAATTTAACATTATAAATCGATGTATATTTTAGTTGGCCGGTAACTTCTTAAGTCTAATTCAATGGGGTCGCATCAAAAGAAGGTGAGGAATTTTTATCACAGTAGTTTTAAATTTTCAATAATAATGGAGTCATTTTTTTTCTTTAAAATTGTCCAACAACGTAACAATTTCAAACAAACAAAGGGAAAAATTGTACTGCCGAAAGTTGCAGAAAATAAAACGAGAAATAATTGGTTGGCCGATAACAATTAGATGGTGGGGATTGGACCACGTGAACTGGCAGTTTTTGTTTTGATTTGTACATGTGTTGAGGTTGACGTTTGGCTAACTGAAGTATGATGCGATCGCTTTGGTACCGAGATTTTCTACGCAAGAATTGCAAGAAAAACTAGAGAAAACTTTATTTATTCGACGTGCTTCTGTTTATCACGTTGGTTGAAATATATAGAAAAGAAAAGAAAGACAATCCTAAAGCTACGTAAACTAATCAAGGAATAATTCTAATCCTAATAATTAAAGAAGACTAACTTAACTAAAATACTATAAAAATATAATAACTAGGAATTATAATAATAAAGAAGCTATTAATAAGGAAGCTATTATAGAGACCCATGAGCCACGATCCTAACTAGTCCAAGTAGCGCCGGTTAGGTCGGATGGTTCGCATGCTACGACGTGGCTTATCATTCCCTCCCTCTTCAAATACAACCTTGTCCTCAAGGTTAAGGTGGGGAAACTTTTCGACAAGCACCTCCAAAGCTTCCCAAGTGGCGTCTTCTACTGGCAAGGAATTCCATTTAACCAACACCTCTCGCACGCGGCCACCATTTCCAGCAACAACCCTAGACTCCAGAACTTGTGTGGGCTCAAGAACGGGTTCTCCGTCCACGGTGTAAGGTGGTAAAGTAGCTACTGCAGACTGTTGATCCCCAAGCTTACGCCGAAGCAATGAAACGTGAAACACCGGGTGTACGCGAGACTCGCTAGGAAGGTCCAACTTATACGCCACACGGCCAATTCTCTCGACAATGCGAAATGGACCGTAAAAACGGCTAGCCAACTTATGGAAAATCCTCTTGAAAACAGACCGTTGTCGATATGGTTGAAGTTTTAAATACACCCAGTCGCCAATCTCAAACTGCTCCTCACGTCGATGTTTATCAGCCGCTTGCTTCATTCGATTCTGAGCGGCTGCCAAGTGAATTTTCAATTCCTTAATAATCTCATCTCGTGCCCTCAAGGTTCGATCAACCTCTGGTACATTAGCAGTTCCAGCCATGTATTGCACCAATGGTGGTGGAGGTCGCCCATAAACTGCTTCAAATGGTGTCATTCCAATGGATTGATGGAACGATGTATTGTACCAGAATTCAGCCCATGCTAGGTATTCTTCCCATTGTCTTGGTTTGAGGTAAACGAAGCACCTTAAATATTGCTCAAGACACCGATTTACTACTTCGGTTTGGCCGTCGGATTCGGGATGGTAAGCCGAACTAGTGCACAAGGCAGTCCCCTGCAAGCGAAATAGCTCCCGCCAAAAATTACTCATAAAAACTTTGTCTCGATCAGACACAATTGACGTGGGAAGGCCATGTAATTTGACCACTCCTCTCACAAATGTAGCTGCCACATCTTTAGCCGTGTATGGGTGGGTTAATGTCATAAAGTGGGCATATTTTGATAATCGATCGACTACCACGAAGATCGTATCTTTCCCTTGCGATCTCGGCAATCCCTCAATAAAGTCCATACTTATATCGGCCCATATGACAACTGGTATTTGCAATGGTTCGAGCAGCCCCGCCGGCCGACGATGATCAGCTTTATTTCTTTGGCACGTGTCACACTCGCGCACAAATTGCCGCACCGCTGATCGTAGTCCTTGCCATGAAAACAACTGTGAAATGCGTTTGAATGTGCGAAGCTCTCCTGAATGTCCCGCAATTGGTGAAGAGTGAAATTCTGTAAGGATCTTTTGTCGTAGAGGACCCGCCTCGGGAACCATTACACGTCCTTTCACCCATACGCACCCATTTTTGACTGAAATCCCGTCTTCACTTGAAGTATTTTCCCCCTTTTTTTTCAGCTCGTTCAACTTTGGATCCTCTGCAGTGGCAGCGGCGATCTCGTCCCACACGGCCCAAGTCGGTATGGTAATAGCAGATAACTCCGACTCGCTGACCATACCCTCGTCGATTTTTGGATTTGCATGTTCGCGGCGGGATAAGGCATCAGCCGCGCTATTTTGTTTTCCCGGCTTATAAATGATCTCGTAATCAAATCCCAATAACTTAGCTATCCACTTTTGTTGTTCAGGCGTAGTAATACGCTGCTCAAGAAGATAGCGGAGACTTCGGTGATCAGTGCATATTTTGAATTTACGCCCTAAGAGATACGGTCGCCAACATCGAACCGCTTCTAAAATCGCTAGCATCTCTTTTTCGTAAGTGGACCAAGCCCTCTTTGTTGCGCTGATCCCCTTGCTAATAAAAGCAATAGGTCTTCCCCCTTGACTCAACACAGCCCCTATGCCTTCACCGGAAGCGTCCGTCTCAATGGTAAATTCCTCCTCAAAGTTTGGTAGGGCTAGAACAGGGGTCTTCGTCATTGCTTCTTTTAATTTTTCAAATGCTAATTGTGCCTCTTCCCCCCACTTGAAGCCTCCTTTTTTGAGTAAGTTTGTCAGTGGTCGAGCTATACTCCCATAGTTGTGTACAAATTTTCGATAATAACCGGTTAACCCTAAGAATCCACGTAATGCGCGCACAGTTTTAGGAGAAGGCCATGATACCATAGCTTTAATTTTTTCTTGATCAACTCTTACCCCTTCGTGTGAAATCCAATGGCCCAAGTATTCCACTTGCTTTTGGCCAAAACAACATTTACTGGGTTTTAGAAAAAAATGTGCATCCCTCAATATTTGCAAAGTGGTCCGCAACTGTTGTAGGTGATCTTCCCACGATTTACTATAAACTAATATATCATCAAAAAAAACCAATATGAATTTCCGCAAGTGTGGCCGAAAGATCTCATTCATAGCAGCTTGGAAAGTCGATGGTGCATTACACAATCCGAACGGCATTACTAGATACTCGTAGTGGCCATTATGAACTCGAAAGGCAGTTTTGTGAATGTCATCAGGATGTACCCGGATTTGATGATAGCCCGCACGTAGATCGAGCTTGCTGTAATACTTAGCCCCGTGTAGCTCATCAAGCATGTCGTCCACGGTTGGTATAGGAAATCGATCTTTAATAGTTACGTCATTCAATCCCCTATAATCTGTGCAGAAACGCCACGACCCATCCTTTTTTTTTACGAGAAGAACCGGCGATGAAAAAGGACTTGTACTTGGCCGAATCAGTCCCGACTTAAGCAATGCGGCTACTTGTTTTTCGATCTCGTTTTTCTGGAAGTGTGCGTATCGGTAGGGTCGCACGTTGACGACGGTTGCTTCATCGTGTAAACGTATACGGTGGTCAAACTCTCGTTGTGGTGGTAAGGTTTCGGGCTCTGCCTGGATATCAAGAAATTCAGTCAATAATTTTTTTATTTCCACATTGTCGGTACCAACTACTTCGCTTGTTTCCTCCCTATCGAACGATGCCGCTACTCCGAATAGCTCGCCTCCAGCTTTCCAGTCCCCGATCAGCGCATGGAGCTCGCTAATTTCGATGTCCTTCTCTTCCCGTCCCTGAATGTGATATTCACGGCCTTGGACTTTAAATTTCATTGATTTTTTTCGATAATCTGTTAGCACGGGACTCAGGTCCTCGAGCCATGGTAAACCCAGTACTACATCTAGTCCGTCGATCGGCAAAGGATATAAATTGGCTCGAAAATCATATCCCTGTACATGCATTGGGACGATTTCACACCTTGCCGAACATTCCAATTTTTGACCATTCGCCATCCGCACCAGAAAAGGCTTAATCGGTTTAACCTCCAATCGTAGTCGTTGAGCTAATTCCGGGTTGATGAAGTTGAGACTGGACCCGTTATCCACCAACATTTCGACCGGTGAATTCTCAAGCTTTCCACTTACTCTCATGGCTTTCTTTCCCGACTCTCCTCCAATCGCATGCAACGAAATTTGTTGCGGCTCATCAAAGTCAACTGCTTCATCGTCGCCCTGATCTTCCGCTTCGATTATTAAAGCTTGTGCTTTTTTACACTGGTGCCCTCTTACAAACTTCTCATCACAATGATAACATAGGTTTTGTTCCCTACGACGTTGCAATTCTTCCCAGGTCAGACGCTTTGCTCCATCAGCGACCAATTGACGAGTGTTGGTTGCCGGGTTCGGGTTCACGAATTTGGAGTTTGTGGAATTCGTGGTCCTTGTTTGGCCTGCACTTCTTTTCCCGAATTGCAGCTGCTCGTCCTTGCGTTTTGCTAGCTCCATAGCAGTCTGTAGATCCTTAGGTTTGAACAGACGAACGTCCCCCGCAATATCTTCACGGAGACCTGCCATGAAAGCTCCCATAAGTGCCTCTTCGGGCCAATCTGGTAGACAATTCATGAGCTTCTCGAACTCTCCTAAGAATTCTTTGAATCCTCCCTTCTGTCTTAAACGACACATGGACTCATTGGGGTCCTCGTAATTGCCGTGGCCAAAACGCAATAGTATCCCTTTCTCGAATTGCCTCCACGATATTTTACGACCTTGATTCGCCCTTTCGAACCACTGCCACCATTGATTGGCATCTCCTTCTAGATGATACGAAGCCAGCACTACTTTACGATGGCCATGTAAGTCATTAGCCAAGAAAAATTGCTTCGCCCGATTGAGCCATACCCTCGGCTCTTCACCATCAAATTTTGTAAAATCCATTCTAACCTGGTGGTGTCGCCTTCCATGTTTTCCGTTGTTCGAAGCTCGACTCCTAATCGAATTGTTCGACATGCGGCTATCTTGGCTGTCGCTGCCCGACGAGTCGTCCGATGGTGGCGGCGACGGCTCGTTTCTTCTCCCCCATGGGTTTTGTCGATCTTGCCCTCGTTCAAGCATCCTTTGCATCTGTTGCATAGAAGTCT